AGAGGGGACCTGCAGTGCCAGGAACACGGATTGTTTTCCTGGCACTGGAGAGTCCCTTTAATTGACAAAAAGAGGGTATGACTTCAGGAAGAGTATCCGCTTCTCATAACCACATTTACTCTTTTACAGCTACTGCATCAATGCAGATTGCCTCCTAACATGGTGCTGTATGCATAACAACAACACAAAACATTAATTCATACACTCTTATAGTTAAATACACATTCATATATTTTATTTTAGATGTTTTTTTATTTATTTAATTTTACGTATTATTTTTAATTATTATTTATTTATTGTTTACCTTTTAATAAGTTTTATTATATATATATATATATATATATATATATATATACATATATAGAGAGAGAGATATAGATATGTTGTTGTGTTTTTATATTTTAATATAACTAATACATTTTAATTTTTTTATTTGTATTTTTCTTTATTTTAATAATTTTAACTTTATTAATGTATTTGCACAATAAAAGTATTATTAACATCAATATAAGAATTTATAGGACACATATTTAGTTTCTTTACACTTCTGTAACATTGTCTGGTAGTGTAATTTGGGTTAACTTTGTGGCTAGTCTCTTTTTTTTCTGTAGAATTTACTGTCAGTTATTTTATATCGGACCATTATTGAAGTGCAATGCACAATAGCAATAGAAGCTGCAGACCCATGGTCAGTGAAAATACTCCTCCTTTAATCTAGTTGTTGAATACTGCTACCTATGGCACATATTATTGGTGAATAACTTATATAGATAGTTTTAAAAGGCCACTACAAAACAAACACCTGTAGTTTTGTGCCTACTTTGGCTACTGTCAAATCCTGCCATGATGGAGCTACTGACTGAGAAGCCCCCTGATATTAATGTTCAAGTATAAAGCTAACAAATTAAATACAGAACCGACAAACCTTGCCAAGTGGGATATTCAAGCACTGAAGACTATGAGGATTCAAAGTAAATTTGGGACTTTCAAAGGTGAGTGGTTATATTTTGTAACTGTACTATTAGTGTACTGTTGTTGTTTTTTGTAATACATCACCTCAATAATTTGTTAACATTGAGAGTTAAGATTATATTGTATAGTCTCTTTAAAACAGATTCTACTCATGTTCCTACATTCTTTATTCATAAAATATTAATTAGAAGTTTTTTCCTGTTTAATTTTTTAGACACTTGCAAGCCTCACAAAGGATTTCTAAGCAATGTATAAGTACTAATTAAGTCATGCATGTCTAGAATAAATTGGAAGCAGTTGATATAATTAGGGATGCTAATTGAAGAGATCGGATCTAAACTGTTATAGAAAAGGCAATGATCAATAATGCTTATTTCCTGTGAAATGTAGCATTTATTTGTAAATAGATGAAATTAAGAATACAAAATGAGCCATTTAATACAAATAGATAAGTAAGACGTTACTCCCCTACAAGCAAGGGCTTAGGTAAGCTAACTTTAGACATTTGTGGTCTTTTGAATGACTGCATTTGTTTGCTAGTTTAGTCTTGCACTTATTGGAGAAGTTCAGTAGCTACTGGAAGCTAATAAGGTCCAAGACTCACACACAGATCAAAAACAATATCTTGAAAATAAAGGCTCTCCACTTTCCACTAAAGTATTCATCATGTATTTATTTGGAAAACTGTGTAAGGAAAAATGTCTGTCTGCCTGTCTGTCTGTCTGTCTGTCTGTCTATCTATCTGTCTATCTATCTGTCTGTCTGTCTATCTATCTATCTATCTGTCTGTTTGTCTAACTATCTATCTATCATTGTTATTTTTGGCATTTAAATAGAGCCAACTTATTCCACAGTGCTTTCTATTATTATAAAAGGGGGAAATAAATGACACAATTACAAATTTACAGGAACACAGGTTTATGAGGACTCCGCTCAAATGAACTTACAGTCTAGATGAGATCGGTCAGTCGTTCAGTCTGTCTGTCTGTCTGTCCATCCCTATGTAATGGATACTCTTTAGCTTTTTTCATTTTACAAGAAGTGCAGATTTCAATTGGTACTTTTATAAATTAACCTTATTACAAGCCACTGGCTGTTCATCAGACAACTGGTTCTATTACTTCCTGGTTGTTTAGCTCACTGGATCCAAAGTCAAGAGACATGAATTGCTCAGAGCACCTTCCTTTCAAATACTTCATATTCAACTGCATTGGGAAATCAGTATATTTTAAGGAAGATGCTATAGCACAAGATATGCAAATGATTGCTGCAAAAAACCTTGCAGAAATATTGCGATTGGATGACTCAAGACAAAGTGCTGCAGCAACTAAAAAAAGTACTGGCACTGCACAGTTAAAGGGCTTTTCAAAGTAGACTGTCCAATGTAAACACAAAAAGCCCTTTAACTGTGCAGTGCCAGTATTCACTGCCACTCCCTCGCGGCCTCGCCATGTTATCCATGTTATAACCCAGAGTCTGAGCCTGCAGTACATCTGTAGGAAAAGCCAGCTTGGCCAAAGTGATTTACAGCTTAGCTCTGTAGTACAGCCAATAGCAATAATGGAGGATTCTTTTGTTTGGTTAAATGTGGGTTACGTTGGGTCACAGGGAACCCGGTGAATTAAGGTGGGCCAAAGGGAGCCTAAACTGACAGGGTTTAGACTTGCTGCACCAATAACTGTGTACCTAGCTCTGTGACATGTAGAGGGATAGTAAAGTCTCTTTCTGCACACAGAGCAGCATGCTTCAAACATAATCACTGTTTAAGGGAGATTTTAATACAGAGAGCCCCCTAAGGGTGGGGAAGTACATGGTTAGATGAAATGTACTGTCACTAAAAATTGCTTTCATTAATGTCTCTGGATTGCTGTAAATTACTGTATATGGCTAAATCTAACATTAAAATATTTCTTTCCTGAGCTACACTTATCATTACCTATGATACTCATTATCATACTCATTACCTATAAAACTCAGGCAGCCAGCTTAATCTGACACTTTCTGTACTTTGGAAAAGTACTCAGGCTGACTGAGCATAATTGGACATGTATGGATCTGCAGTGATTTAATCCATCAATTGCGATTTAATCCAGCAATTGCTGCAATAAATTATTTTTTCTAAGTTCCTATTTTGTTGCAGTGAGTTCTATGAAACACTAATACATACTGCATATTAGTTTGGAGATGTATTTCTGTCAAGTTTTGTGATATGAGCATTGGGGTACAGTCATAAATACCAAACCTGAACTGTTATTTTGTACTGTCAGCCCTGGGAATAGACATGGACATTTAATGAAACTTAACTCAATGACAAGGAGTTTATTTTTCAAACCTCTCAAGGCCATTGATACATATTTTGCAGATAATGACTTAAGTAAAATGTCCAGATGGCTCTGGGCAGGTACAGAAGTTCATTAATCGTATATTATTATTATTTATAAATCACCAACAAATTATGTAGCACTGTATAATAGGTTAACTAACAGTCATGTAATTGCAACTAGATGAGATGGACGCACAGGAACAGAGGGTATTGAGGACCCTGCTCAAGAGAGCTTACATTCTAGGGACTCGAACTTAAGGGCACATCTACTAAACATTGAGCAGCCAATGAACTAGTATGGGTATATTCCCAGCAAGTCTAGTGAGATGTTTGCCTGTCAAAGTGTTCTGATTGGTTGGCTTTTTCAGACCAATTATTTGGATGAACCAAGTCTAACATCTATGTTGGGCTCTGTGTTTTGGTGGGAGTTCTTTATATAACAAACGTTACTTATTTTGCTACTCCAGAAATTGGGTTGAAAAAACTGTGTCTCAATATTTTATTTCATACTCCACACTATTTCAAATACGCATAAGGCTCAAAGACAATTATCAACGTAATATTAGGCTCTAATTTCTCTTATTGAGCCTTCTAAAGCATTGTTTTAAAATTCTACTTCAATTCAGGAAAGGGTATTTTTTTTATTGCTCTAATTTTATTAACGCCACTTATTTTAATAAATAATCTTTTATTTCCTATTTGGCTTCTTTTCAGTTTCATGCTAGTTACCCTTCTGTGCCTTCTGTTTCTTATGCCACAGACTCATTACCTTTGGCATAACATTCCTATCCCTTTTTCAGCCAATCACACTTGGCACTACACAGCGAGTACTGACACAACCGTTATTTAAAAAGACATAGTGAATTATGCTCTCTTGCCCAGTGCTAGTGGAAGAGATGTTAATGTGGATTAAATGAAATGAGATTTGATAGATCCTGGGAACATCTCTCTCACTGTGAAAACATCTGAACTGATTTAACATTTCTGCCTAGAATTGAAATAATTGATATTTTAGAAAGCATTCAATCACAAGGGTAAGGATTATGTTTGTTTTCTCTTTTGAAGGTCAGAGCATTCCATCATTTGCTGAGTGTTCGTGTTATAGAACTAAAAGTTGTTGCTATATTCATTTTTCACACTGAAAAACAGTCATTGCAAATGCATGTAAATCTCATAATTTGTGTTCATTTTAAATTGGAATTCAACTTCCTTACACTAATATTTTCAAGGGGTGTGATAAATTGCTTGGTTTGCATTTTATTGTGCTTTGTAGTCAGGACACTTTTTTTTATGTAGTGATACATATTACATTTGTGCTAATCCTAAATATATATGACCTATTCCATAGCAAATATTTGTTGTGTAAAACAAATTAGCATAAAAATGATTTTATACATGGGATGCAAACCTAGCACATACATGTAAGACAAAAGATCAGTTTGGCATTTGGATTGTTGTTCACGTATACCTAAAAAATAAGCAACTGAACTATTCATGTTTTCAATTATTTTCTTTCCATTATTTACAGAAAAAAATGAGAATAAATGTTTTAAAAATTACACTGTATACTATGCAACATTTCAATCAAGTTCGAAGAAACATAATTATATATTTTACATATAAATAAGGTGTAAATAAATTATAGATAATTAAAAATGCAAATATACAATTTTTGGTTATCTGTGATTATCCTGATAGTATTTATGGGGATTCATGTGAATTTCCTAAAAATGGAAGCAAAAAGTAAAACTAAAATTATTAAGAGAGCATATACTCACATACAGTGTGGCGAAAGCCACTTTGACACTGAGGTTTGGAGGGGACTACTTGCCAGACTTTTACCCTGTGACTATGGCCCCTTTAATTTATTGTGGTTGAGAGACCCTATTTGTGCCTATTGGGACTTTGAACAATGGTTCTTCGAACTTTCGAAGTAGTTCGAAGTGCCACTTCGAACCAACATCTGGACCACACGCAAATGGAGTGTGTAGCTTATTTACCTCCCAGGCTAGTATTTAACCGCAGCCAAACTGATGAACGTCGAACACGTGGCAGGGACCATCTTGTTTAGTCGAAAGTGTACAGCTTGTTTTGTCGTCGAGGTCATGGAACTCAAATCGGACACGCAACGGCACCAACACCGCTGAACAGTTACCTTCCATAGAACTTCGGCTATTTGAACTGGAGTCGAACGGCGTTCGGTGAGCCGGAGCCCATGAACAAGGGACACACACTGACTATGTTCATCAACCATTACGTTGTGTAATTTGAAAGGTATTTCGACTGTTTGAAATAGACCAGCAGCACAGCCTTATTCTCTGGAACTGTTTTGGGCATGAAACCATGCGTGTGGTCGGTCAAAAAGAGACATCAAGGAATTTCATTAACCCCTGCTCTGATCTGGGTGATTTTTGGATATGTTGTGTTTTGGGGTACTTATGAAACCTTATACAATATGTGTTTTCTGCCTGGAGATAATTGAGATACATACAGGACTTGACTCAATTATCTCCTAGGCTGAGGGGAGGGATTGTGTGTAATGTATGGAAGTGTCACCTACTGTACTGCATTATCATTGACTTGTGACAATTGTCATCCTGTTCGCCACAAGGTCCAGGTGGGTGTTCCCTTGCATGGATACTTGAATACAAGGCCAGCTGTGGCACCATTAGAAGTGAGTCCTGCTTAACCCTCAACACGTAGCTTGGGGAGGAACTGCTATATCACTACGAGCTCTCATTAGAGCTATACAGCTATACTCTCCTGGAGGAGAGGTCTTTCCCACATGATCCTGGATATCAGAGGTTGTTCCAGGGTGGAAGAAAGACGGCGAGATCCCAGCTAAGCTACGGCGGTTGTGGAGTCTGCGGTGCTTGTGGTGTCCAGGTGCGGTGCTTACGGTCCTCAGCATCAGCTAGGAAGTATCTGTTGGCGGAGGAGCCCAGTCGGGGTGCCAGGTGATCGGTTACATACAGTAAGGGCATTTGCCTGCAAAAAGCCCTATAGTCCTCCTCCACCTTCATTGGTGGAACTGCTAGAAAGCATTCATTATGGTTTGACCTGTGGAGGGAGGAAGAGTAAAGAAATTTAGGGAGATAGAAGACTATGTGGCTAATATTATACTATAACACTTTTTTGAAAGTGATCAATAATCTCTACTTAATTTACCAAAGCAATACATCATCATAGAGCTTACTAATTGCACTTTACAGGATCAGTGATAACAATTTGGCATCCTGACAATGAAAATATAATTTGCAACTTCAACTTCTTTCAAGTTAAGAAAAGCCATAAACAGGGCTGCTGAAATTTCGTAAGTAGACTCATTGAACTTTTTTGCAAAAACATAGTAGGCACCAAATTGTTTCATATATGTATATATATATATATATATTGTCCTATTGATGTTGTCGCTCCCTAGGTATTATTATTATAATTGGCAATTATATAGTGTCAACTCTTTCTGCAGCGCTATACAATATTATAGGATGGGGAAATTAACAATAAATGAGACAATTATAAATACTTATAGGAACAATAGGTTGTCTCATTTTTTGAAGAAAAGATCAACTTGTCCTATTGTTTGAAAAAAAGATCAAAAGGTTAAATGATAAGGACTATTGTTAAAGCCCTCTTTTATTTATGTCATGCCACACACAAAAAATCTTCAGTATGAGCTTACAATATTTTTATAATGCAGGTATAATGGAAAGTTAATGTATGTGGAACACAGATATTATTCCTACTGTCCCATAAAAAAGTGCTCATAGTTGCAGTATATTTTAAATAAATATATTTGCAAATTGTGTGTGGTATGCATGCGTGTGTATTTATGTGCTTTTATGTATGTTTAGGTTTGCATGTTATATTTTTTTTATCATAACATTGTATTCTCCTACTGAAAAAGCAATGAAAATGGCACAAATGACACAATAAAATCAGAAGAATTATATTACAATATAGCATTTCAATGTATACTGTGATATAAACATGCAAGTCTTGCAGAATTACATATACTGTAATGCTTTGACAACTTTTCCTTTACCTGCTGGCAAACACGCTCTAATACAATATATGTTAAATCCAAGACTATAAAAGTTATAAATGTGTGTGTGAATAAAGTATTTTTTATTAGAAGCATCATCATCATTAATATTGGAATCCTTTGTAGAGAACCTACATTTAACACCATGGCATCTTAGACAAGAATGCGTTTAAGAAAAATATAGGGTTTAAAAAAAATAAAATAATGTTTAAGAGAAATTTTTCTTTAGTTTTTTTCAATAAGCATATTCTAAAACTCTTTAGTTTTAATTTTACTTATAAATTCTATGAGGTTTTTCAAAGTTAAACTAACATTCTATTTGGAATTTGAGTTGGTAACTGTAAATGAAAATTAGTATTAGCAGAAATATTATCCATATTAAAGTGAGAAACATTTGAGATATTTAAATAAGATGAATATTCAGAATACATTCCAGACCAAACAGTACCAAAAAGCAAGTCCGTGTACTTGTACTATTTTTGTGCATTACCAAAAGCTGTTTAAAGTGAATGCAGATACGCATGATAAATTTTTGTTTGTTATTCTAAAAGTGTATTTATCTGAGGCTCTTGGCAGAATCCCTACAATGTATATTTGCATTAAAGATCAAAATAATTTGAATATAGTTATGGACCACTTTTTACAATTTGGAGATAAAATAATATCTTTATTTCAGCTGGTAATGGTCTATAGCCAGTCACTTCAAATATATGAATGTGATTAAAGTTCTTCACTACAGATAATTTCATTTGACATCATCAGGCTGCATTGTAATGCCTGTGAATGAACAAATCCATTTTGGAGATTTTATTTGGCAGAAGATGAGATCTATTGGGACATACTTGTTTAACCCCTTAAGGACACATAACATGTGTGACATGTCACGATTCCCTTTTATTCCAGAAGTTTGGTCCTTAAGGGGTTAAACAAATTACTGGAAATAGAATTAAAATTACTGTCTGACTGGTGTCTATCAAATGTTCCTCTATGTTCAACTGTAAAAATATTCATGGATATCCATGCAAAGGAACACAACAGTAACACAGGAGGCAAACAACACCTGTCTTAAAACTTATGCAGACTCTTTCTGAGCATAAATAGAGGGCACAAACAAGGAAGCTTGGCATCTGATGTACTATTTTAATAGAAGATTTTAGTTTTTCCAGAAAATGTCTTGTATGAAGGAAAGAACAGATCACCACACCATCAAGTCTGTCAAATGCTAATTAAAAGTTTGTTTAAAGACAATTCCATTCTGGTCTAAGCCACAGTATGGTACTGCCTGGGTCTAAGAACCAATATTGAAGTGGAGGTCATGTCGTTGTCCACCCCCCAACATTTTGTCAAGGTTAACCCAAGTGACCATGGGTAAAAAAAAAACTGCATTCCTTCTTTACCGTAATAATGTAAAAAAAAGTTATACTTGCAATGAAATGTCCTATTTATTATTAAATTGCATTTTCTTTAGACACAGAAAAGGCATAACTTGTAAAATAAAAAGAAGCAGATAGGAAAAAAAATGTGGGGAATAAAAATTTGAAAATGAACATAAAGTCCAGAGGACACAATAAAGTCCCTCGGGTTTGCAAAAAAAATATAAAGGATAAAATCACACTTTACTGGAAAACACAAGGATCAAATTAAAAATCACACCACATATAATTCCCTAAGGAGAGCTAATAAGCTCAGCAAACCTGATCGGTAGAAAGGGTAGCAGAATGTAGGAAGCTGCTGGATAACAATAGGAAGAACACTTTGGGGTGGGGACCTATGTAGTATTAACCTAACCAACAAAAGGGTTGGGAGGAGAGAGTGAAAATCTGTATCTCCTACAGTGGAACTAGTCTATAGAACTAGACACTGGTGAACAGGTAGAATAAACAATGTAGCCTCTTGTTGCCAACATATGAGATCTATCATGCCGCACACAGATGCACTATTAAAATGCTGTAACCATTAGTATTGGAAAGCTTTATTTGGAGAATAAAGGTTCTCACAATCTATTAAAGCAAACAAAAATGTTCAAGTGCTAGTATATCTCAACAACAAGAATTTTAAAAGAGGTTGCAGTACTCAATATGGAAAAAATGATGTAATTTAATATTTGGATTCATTGCCACTTTTCCTAGATTTCCTTTATATATTCTATTATAAAAAAGCCTAATTTTTTGCTTAGAGTTATGATCAATAATGTCTAAGAATGCATTGTATTTTATGTTGAGTATAAAGTCATTTTATATTTTGTGACTAATTTACAGTAATGAGAAATTATTTAGCAATATATAATTATGTTTTCAAGTATTAAAAATGTTATTAATTGATATTTAGTTATCAACTTACTTTATTACTTGCAGTATTTTATACTACTTTACTAATAATTATTTATTATTTGAATTTAAGATTCATTAGAAAAAAACACATCTATAAAAAATGAAGAACATATTAATTCTAAATCACTATATCAGTAAGAGAAATAATAAGCTGATGGCCATTAAACCTATGGACGAAAAGCAAAAAAAAGTATTTTGTTCCATTTGCCGTTTTTCTCTATTCATTATTTATTCTGCTTTGCCTGTTCATGTCATGCTTCTTTGCCTTGCAATTATTTTGATGCATGGCTGACACAATATCCAACTGTAGTCTTTTCAGTATGAAAAATCTATTATGTTTAACTTGACGAAAATGCTTTGCAGTTTTGTTCCATTGCTGCATTACAAGATAGATCTAATATTATTTCATCTCGTTGCTGTATTAAACATTTCCCTTTAACATGATCATGTTTTAAATCTCCTTGAAGGCATAGGCTCACCAAAACTCAGACTTCATGATACAAACAATGTCAAAATAGGGATACATCATCACTTTGCTGATACCTTGGTCCTTAAGAAAAGCTATCTGT